AGGGTTGGGGGTTCTCAGGGGGGGAGTGGGAGGGGCAGGGGCGGGGCTAGGGCAGGATGGGGCGGGGCTAGGGCAGGACAGGGGCAGGGCTCCTCCCGTCCTCTTTTTTGCTTGCTGGGTTATGGTAACCCTAGCGGATGAATAAAGGTGCTTTGCCCTAACGCTGTACAGCGAGATTTCTCAACTGCCCTGAGTTTGCTTTTGGAATGGGGAGTATTGTGTACATTTTGCTTTGGTAAAACAGACATCACATGCTCATCTAGTGACTCCACTGGAGAATAACAGTCAACGATTGCTACCAACTAATCCAGCTATTCCTGTAGCCAGTAGAGGCCGGTGCTCTCAAGTTCAAACCCTATTCAGAACTCATGCAGAGGGTCGTTACAGACACCCCAAAGTTACACTCAAAATATCCATGGCACCATTGTATCGCACCCAGATAAGTAGGAGTTCTTTACAAGCATGGTGCATCACTTATGTGGTTTAAAGCATGAATGGACAAAGCCCTAGAAAGTATACCCTTATGGATAATCATGAGGATGGATTCGATGATCTAATAGATCTTCCCTGCCATCTGCTACTGGGAGTCACAGTCAGTCCAAAAGGCTCTCTTTCTGGCTCATCTGTAGTTGCAAAGCTAATGCAACATTATTTCCAGAGTTATTTCCCATTGTAAATGACAGCATGAATGTTGTGTGGTAGATAAGGATCTCTGGATTCTCTGAAGGCTGCTGGGTCTCGTTAACACTTGGGTCTCTGCCATGATTTAATGTCTAACTTACGCAAACGATCTGGGAGAGCCATCGTCTGCAATCGCTTAATGACAATGCAGACATATGCAACAGTAACTGTCAGCCCCCGTTTGAAGGCGTGCTCAGTGGCGAGGCCAAGGGTTAATCTTAGACTTTGAAATAGTTAAACTTACTGTTTTGGAAAGGGAAAAAATGAGCAAGAGAGTCCAGCTCCTGACTCAGGTGTGTTCTCTGCACTGGCAATTCTTTGCATTATTCTGTATTTAGGGGCTTAATCCTGCTCCTGTTGAAGTCAATGGCAAAACTCCCATTGGCTTGAATGGCGGGGGGAGGGGTGGGGATCAAGCCATTAGTCAGAATAAGGACATAGGATGTAGAGATGGGTCCCAGCTCTGAAGTTTGGATTTAGATCTGAACTTTGCCCCCAGCTGAACCCCCTCACTCTGCCCCCCAATCAGCTGGGGGCAAAGTTCAGATCTAAATCCGAACTTCAGAGCTGGGACCCATCTCTACATCCTATGTCCTTATTCTGACTAATGGCTTGATCCCCACACCTCCCCCAGTCCCATCTCTAGCATTACCTGCTGGATACCAGCTTTTTAAAAGAAGGTAGCTCAGACTCTCACATTCACAATGGAGCACACGGTGTTTTCCAGCTGGCAGCTCATCAGTTAACCCTGTAACTCAATGCAGTGAGTTAGACGCCGAGGCTGGGAATGCAGCATCCTCTCTTTAAAAGGATGAGACCTTGTCACAGCTCTGGGGGTGCTGGCAGGCCCCTCCAACTGCACAGACACTGAAAAATCCTTAGATTGCCCACATCTACCAAAGTAGGGGGTCTCTATGACACAAAGGGATGGGGCCCTTGGCTCCCACTCCCCGAGTCCCTTTAGTATGGTCTCAGATTCTCTAACCCCCAAAGGGGTAGAAGGTAGCGGTGCCAACTGCCTAGTGGGTCATCCTGTGGCTTGCCAAACCTACCTTTCCTAGCCAGTATACCAGCATTGGCTTCTTGCAGACTTAGAGTGGGGCTGGTAAATGGCCTTCCCGGGGGCAGTACCCCGGAAGGCTCCCAGGAGTCTCCCCTGGGAGCTGTAGAGCTGCCATCTGCTGTCTCCCAAGGCTGGCCAGCAACTGCTGGGAACGTCCTGCTTTTAAGCCTTTATGCCACTCTTGATATGACTGGCAGGGCCAGCAGGGCGGAGCCAACCTTGCCCAGAGCTGCTCTTTAACCCCTTCATCACCAGTGCAGGGTTTATACACCCCATCACAGACCTATGGGGATTTCTGGTTCATTTAAAAAAAATGTAACAGGCCTCTGTAAGGATTGCTTGGGAATTTCCCCATCTATCAAAAGTGGATACTTCTACTTATTCCTTCCCCAGGGGTGTTGAGGGATAATTGATTAACTTTGTAGAGTGGAAGCACTTTGAAATTGGCGAATAAAAGTAGCTGTGCTTATCTATGTCCATAGGTAGTGAACTACATTTATAGAGCAGTGAGGAAACACTGTTCAGATCTCATACAAGTAATCACACCCCTACTTTCATTTTGTTTTTTTATTCCCCACTTATTTTTGTACCTTAGTTGACAATGACCCACATTTCATCATCCATCTGCTAAAGAGCCAGGAGAACATCTGCTTCAATATTGACTCAGAGCCTGGAAAGATCCTGAACTTGGTTTCAGATCCTGATTCTGGTAAGAGAACATGAATAGCTTCCATTTATATAGCACTATGCATCCCAAAGGTTCTGAAAGGCCATGGTTTGGGGAAAGGAATATGTACCAGGTTCATTGTGATGATTCTTGCTTTACTGACTGCTGTCAGTTCTAATCAAGCCAATTTTCCTCTGACCTGAGATGGAGTTCAATGCCGCTACCCCTGGTTTATGTAGATGTAAATGAAATCAGCATTAGAGTATCCTCAAGTTGCAGAACAAGCTTGCTGGGCTTAATCTCAATAATGTGAATACTAAGTCGGAGCGTGGTATCAGTTCCCTGGAAACTGGTGTGATGCTTGTAACGTTCTCTACATAACATTGACATTAAGCAATCTACAGGAAAACGTCTTCCTACGTACGGCTTCCCAGGATTGCTCTTTGCCTGTCAAAGCTGGCAGTCATTGCTGGTCCCTGTCTGGATTGTGGTTTTGAACAGGTAGTCTATTCGTAGCTTTCCAGCAGCAACTCAGTACAGTCCCTAGACTGCCAGCTGGCACTGGACTGAGCAATGGGTGAGCCTGGGCAGTTAGATGAAATGTACTTAGATGTAAAATAGAAAAAGCTCACACCGTCTCACAACCCTGGCTGCTACCATCTTAGGAAATTCAAACGAGCACCATAACATGCCTGCAAGGTCGTGATCAGCTGGTAAATTGCAGTGATTACACAAGCACACACTGTGGATCACTTGCAGACAATAGAATTAATGATATCTAATGTGTTCCATTAACACTGATCTAGAGGATAGACGTGGATAGACTTCTGCAGATGCACCAAGAATATCTTATCCATTCCACTTGAAACCTGCCGCTGTGGGGCGGCGTTTCTTTCATTTGCACTTTCAGTTGAGCACAAAGAAGAAAGCAGCGGGAGATAGAGAAAGGAAAAAAGAAAAGTCGTCTTTGGGGCCAAGCAGGAAATCAAATTAATAACTAAGTCCAAAAACTGTGCATTGGGAAATGGTCTTCTCTGCTCAAAGCACTTTAGGTCTTGTGATTTGTTTGTCTCCTATGACTTGAATAAGTCTCTGGATTACATGGCAAACTCATGGAAAACATCACATACTCTACTTTTCATAGGGATCGTGGTCAACGGGCAGCTCATTGGGGCCAAGAAGCCTGAGAATAAAAAACTGAGCACCTATTTTGGCAAAATTGGATTCTATTTCAAAAACAAAGGCTTGAAAGTAGAGATCAGCACAGAGATGATCACTCTGAAAGACGGCTCTTACAGCACCGCGCTGTCCTGGTCCGACACAGGAAGCATCATTCGGAAAAGGTGAGAGGAGGTGCATTTCCAATGTACTTTGTGGAAACTATTTGGAATATGTCTATCCCTGTGGATCTGAGGGCAAGAATTACCCTTGAACATCCCTGGGGAAATGAGCCTGGCTTGGCTTTCTAATCTCTTCCTCAAAATGAAGAGAATAATGTCCTGGTTCATCCACTGAGCAGCTGTATGTGTCTAAGTAGCTCAGTTGTCACTGTGGCTATAGATGCTAATATTTCTTATTTGTTTTGTAGTAGAATTCAGGGACCCAATCAGGGATCAAACCCCCACTGTGTTAGGCGCTGTACAAACACAAAACAAAAGGACAGTCCCGGCCCCCAAACAACTTACAGTCTAAGTATAACGGGAGAAATGGATGGATGCAACAAACTAATGGGGACAGCACCAAGAAATAATAGCAATCAGTGTGATTAGCAGTGGTCTCAACAATGAAGCCATTATGAACAGTTTATGTTTATGAATAATAAAGGCACCTTGATCTTTTTTGTATTGACCCTACATTGACATAGTGAATGAGCCCGGTGCTAGGCAATAGGAACTTGTGAGTTCTCATCTTGACTCTGCCACTGAATTTGCTATATAGAGCTGGGCAAGTTAGTGAACTTCTCTGCCTCAGTTTCCAAATGTGAAAAAGGAGAGGGTTATCACACTCACCCTTGCACGGATTTGTTGGGCGGTAACGAAAGCTCTGTAAATCCTCATTAAAAACTGGGACTGATTAGGTACCGCATTCTTCACACGTCATTGTGCACAACAAGCGAAGTTCCTCAGCTGAACCAGGGACGCGGCTCTCATTTCTGTTTTGTGCTTCCGCTAGGCTGCTTGTGTCTGTGAAGAAAGACCGCAGTGTCACTATCGCCATGGACACGGAAATGTCCTTCATTGTTTTGCTTCATCGCGTGTGGAAGAATCACCCGGTCAACGTTGATTTCTTAGGGATCTACATTCCCCCTACAAACCGGTTCTCACCCAGTGCACATGGGCTGATAGGTAAAGACCTGTGGCCGGGTGGCAAGAGGAGGGATCTGATTCCATTGGTTTTGGCTAGAACTCTGTGTGCTGGGGAAGAAGGAAATCATCAACGAGAGGAGAAAAAAGTCCCGTATCTAGAATAGTGTTGTTTAACTTTCTATCAAAATAATTAATTGGCTTTCCCATGAGAAATCTTCCTTTAGGACCCGAATGGTTCTTAAACTAACAACATTCAAACACTGGGCCAAATCCTCCACTGGTGTAAGTGGGGGTAGCTCCATTAAAGTCAATGGAGCTATGCTGATTTACAGGAGCAGAGGATTGGCCCCCTGTATTTTAGGGCCAAATTCTGCCCTCATTTATGCCAAAACCAGCAGTGTGGTCAGCAGGTGGCCTTTCATATCTACTTGACTTCCAGAGCTCAACGCTCAGTTTTATGATAGTGCATCAATAGTCACAGGGCATGTAATAAGATAAGGCCCCTTCCCCAAAGACATTATGATCTGAACAGAGGACAGAAAAAAGGAAAGTAATAGAGCAGTTAGGTATGTTAGTTCCAAGGTGATTTAATTATTTACTTGCTGCCACTTAATAGGAGACACCATAGAAGGTGTGACCAAGTCAGTGGATAGACTTAGCCATTAAGACAAACCTTTCTTTGTACATCAGTGAATGGTCACAACCCCAATTCGGTGCTTCTGTGCGACTATGCGACTCACCAAACCCAGCATGAAGCATGTGGAAACCAAAGAGGAATCATTCTCGGTCCCCACAGTTCAACTGTGGAATGAATTTATAGAATAAGCCAGGCTGATCTGGAGTCTGACCACTTGCAGGGCATCTGCTCTGTGACCAAAGCTCCCCATCGCAGCCAATTGGTGAGGGGAGAGGAGCAGAAGAAAGAATTAATGACCTCTCCCCCACACACACACATCTCACATCTATGTTTTTCCCCAGCAGAGTCCCCTCTCTCAGGGAAGGGGGAAGAGCAGAAGACTCCTGATACCTTCTGGAGATCTTGCCCTCTGCAAATCTAATTTACCTGACAACCATTTCCATACCACAGTAAAGGGGGATACCCTGAGATGGAAGGGTTCTTTCCTGTGCAAGTCACCTTTAAAAACAAAACACCCTCATCACCCTTTTTAAAATTCAGGAATCCCTAGGAAAGTTCCACAGCAGAACAGAACTAGTCAGTATGAGCTTGCCTTACTGATCTTCCCAGTCCCGCTCTGCTTAAGCAGAATCAGTCAGGTGGCTCTAAAGCAGAGCACCTATCTCCACAACGTGGAAGGTCCCAGCGCATTACAAAGACCAATTTGCATGCTTGGGATTGTTGATTTTTAAAATGTGCTACACGACGGCTTAAAATGTGATGGCTGAAGGCCGTGACATGCGAGCAGTTTTAACCTTCTCTTTGGCCAGGCCAATTCATGTCTGAACCAGAAGTGCATATCTACAATGAAAGACCTGGTCAGGATCCAGGGAAACCAGAAGCAACCATGGAAGTGAAAGGACACAAACTTACTGTCACCAGGTAGGAATTCTGCATAAACTCAGCCAAGAAAAAGATCAGGCCCTAAAATGTTTGGTAACCTCCCTTCTGAATGTAGTCGAGGAAAATATCTCTAATTACATAGTCATTCTCTAACAGTGACTTCTTAGCTCTGTGATTCCCCCCAATTTCCTCTGCTTACAAGTAAAACATGTTTTTTTTCATAACTGTCAGCACAGCAGATCCAACATAGCACTGAAAGTCAAGCTGGGTTCTTTCCTGTTTGCGTATCACCACTAGTAATAAAAAACCCACTGACTAAATTCTGCCCTTTGTTACAACTACGGAACCCCCATTGCCTATGTCCTCCAAAGTCTTGGTTGGGCAGTCAGCTACGTGGTGGTGTACTCTCTGCACTAGGGGGTCCATGGAAACCCCTCTGTGTTGCTGCAAATACATGGCTGTGCCAGGATGTGCAGGTTGGGAGCCAAGGAGCAGCTACTCTATGCAGTGGATTTCACCCTGAATATTAGTTCAGAAAGTAATGCTGGTCTCAGGAGGAGATTAGCGCGGTGGGAGAGCTAATGGCAGCATGACTCCTCCGTGGACTGTATTGCAAGTAGGGAGGCCAGGGAGTTCTGAACAGTAAGAGTAGAGCAGGATTTCCTTACGAATCTGCTGCTTTTAGGCTACGCCAACTCAGCAGGAAACCTCTGCCCGGCTTTTAGGAGGAAGTTTGTCTGGCACAAACTTACACACATTGCAAAGCCTGTCAGTTATATCCTTTACCTTCCCCGGGGAAACAAGACCGTAGCATGCCTCTTCAGGAGTCAGAAATACCTACAGTTCTCCCAATTAGTACAGCTTTATATCTCGCTTGCAAGTGAGAATAAATGTGCTCTGAACAAGGTATCCCAAATCCAGCAAGGAATGCAAAACAGAACACAGTCCCTACAGAGCAGGAATGCACAACAAAGGGCCAGATCCTAGGAGATCCAACACCACATGGAAATCCACTGGCTATGCCCCTACTGTTACCATCCTAGGCAGTAGGATGCAGAGATCTCCGCCTCATACTGGCGATGGCAGAGTTGTCCTAGGCAGCAGACACACAACTTTCAGCCCTAGCTTATTCATTTAGGGCCCAGTTGCGCCAACCTTATTTGTTGTAATCAGCGGGACTGTGGGTGTAGTAAAGTACTATTCAATGTGCTCCAAGGTGGCACAACTGAGTCCTTACTCCACTGTCAAAGATATGGACTTCACCTACTGGCAGAACACACCTGGCCAGTTGGCTTCCTACATTCTCCCTGCTCTTGCCACTCAGCGGTTCTGAAGCTTTGTTAGCAGCACATACATTGCACTGGGGTTTGAAGCTTATTTTTCATGAGAATGAAACATAAAAGGACAGCAAGGACTCTCTCCATGTAGCATAGAGCAGAGGGGGGGGGGGCAAATATGGAAATCCTGCTCTGTAGGATCCTTCAGGTTGAGTATCTTCCAGCCAGCACAGACAGTGCTCCTCCGCACAGATCGTCTATGTCGTCAGGACCTGATTCTGACACTCATGTAGTATCATACTCCACAAACAGTCCCTCCGGAGTCAACGGAGCTACTTGTGGAGAGAGGTATTACCTAATGTAAGGGTGTCGGACTCTGGCTGTCAGCAAGCAGCATGGCTTACTGCAGCTTTGCTTCCAAAAGCCAGTTAATTTGATTTTTCTCACTATTCTTTTACATGGGTGAGGTGGCATCAAACATCTGCTGCCTCCATGCTCAGCCCCAAATGGCAGCTGAAATGCATCCCCCACGGAGGCAGGTACAATCACACAGCTTCGGTTACTACAGCTTGCAGTTTGGTTTGTGTTAGGCTTTTATGGAGGTAGGAATCTTCTATCATTCAAGTGGAGAGGCCGGATGATCAGCCCTAGGCACATGCAGGCAGCGCCTGCTAAAGTCAGACTATTGATGTTCAGGCCCTATTGCTGCATTACCTTTTCTACTTGTACCCTCACCACCCATCGTCTTTGTTGCTCTCTTTATTGCAGTGGGTTGCAGAAGGACTACAGGACAGACCAAGTGTTTGGAACCAATGTGCACTGCTGGTTTGTCCACAACAGTGGGAAGGGTTTCATTGATGGCCACTATAAAGATTATCTTGTTCCCCACCTGTACAGCTTGCTGAAGAACCCCTGAACGGCTACAGGCTCAAGCAATTTGTAAAGAAAAAAAAATCCTCCCTCCCCCAGACAAATATTCAGACTCCTTGGTATTCTCAGTGTAACAAAGCAGGCGAATGTAATGACAGGTGGCTAGCAGGTATCTAACTTAAGGGGCCATTGCTCCATGAAAGAGTGTTTCAAAGTGAAGTACGATGTGGTAAAACACAGCAGGTAGCTTTTCTGTATGTAATGAATATAAACCTGTTTAAAAGCTTATTATAATAAAGCTACTTGTTGGAATCGAGTATTGTCTCCTCCCTGCAATGTCTGATTTGGGTTGCTATCACTCGATTGAATATTTCAACAAAGATTTTTCAGAAGGCTTGTAAAAGTGACGCAAAGGTATTCTCTTTCTCGTAGTTTATGGCAATCAAATACAGAACGATATTTAGTGCTTACATATCACTTCACATCAGCTAAACACCGCAAGCTAGCTAATGTAGCCACCATTAAAGAATGATATGTCCATATCAATTTTCATACCACTTACACAAGAATATAAATCAGGTAACCGAGGGAGAAGGTTGCGCTCCGACTACAGAAAATCACCAGCACAGAAAGCTTCGCTTCCATCAATGGGATTTCTATCACCATAGTCATCCTTTCCATTTAACTGAAGCACAGCCAGTTCTAAACGTGCTTCCTGACTAAAGAAATCAACTACGCATGGGCAACGGGATTGGGCTGGGCTTTCATTTCAACATGGAAGCGGATGCATCGTACAAGTCAGCGTAGGCAATACCAATTTTATTTAATGCATACAAAATAGAGGAACTACAGAAACAAACCTAAATTCACACATGCTCTGCAATATTAACCAATTAAAATTCACAGTGAAGATGTCAGTCGTGTTGCACAGAAATATAAACTGGACTTCCTTCCGGAAGGAATCAAGGGGCGTTCCCAACACAAAAGAGAAATGCCACAATTCAGTAAATGGAAATACTGTAACAGCATCAAGTGTTTCAAAAGCCAGCTTTGAAAATCCTCTTAAATATGTATATTATTATTCAGTAAATGTGTGAGTTCAGCTTCAAAACGGAGGAGTGGACCATTTGGGCTCGAGGAATGAGGGTAGGGAACCCAAGATTTTTTTTAAATGGGTACCCAAAGTTAGGTTCCTGAATTGGTATTTAAGCACCTAAATAGCTAAGCTGATCGACAAAAGTGTTGAGCCTCCACTAGCTTCCATGGAGGTTAATGAGATAGCTCAGTGCTTTTGAAATCAGTTCACATAATTCTTCCCTCCACCTCTGCCCAGTCTTGGCCAGGTTCTCTTGAAATTCTTCCTTGCTTTACTCCACTCTAGCATGTGGCCTTGAGCAAGTCATTTTTCTTTCTGTACTTTAGCTTCCTCTGTCTCTAAAACATGGACGCCACCACCTGTCTAGCTCTCCGCCATGCTGGGAGGAATAAAGAGTTTTGAACAAGTGGGAAGTATCGTTTTATGTAAAACTTTCTTTAAACAAACTCAACTGCAACAGATTGTTTTTAAAGCCACTTTTGGTTACTGCTCTGCAGTGCATCACCTCTATTCCTGGAGGTCAAAAGGAGCCATTTTATCTGCGATTGAAATGCTCTCTCAGAAACAAGTCATTGCAGTGGATGTATGAAAAATCCTGCAATCTACTATTTCACCGGCAGGGGTCCCCTTGAGACCACAAATTCAACAGCATGCAAGACAGTGAGTGCGCCTCTTATTACTAACGTGGTGACCTGAACTTTCAGCTTGCTCAGATCAGCACAGCGTCCTGCACTGTCTAACCATTAGACTAGAGGAAGAAGGAGATTTGCTTGTTAATCAAGAACACCAGAGTCAGATCTTTTCAAGGCAACTCGCTCAGCCTAAAACTACTGAGGCAAGAAAGAGCAGAAGGTTAGAGACTAAACACTGGATTCTCCAGCCAACCTACCCCAACCCTCCCTGAACACTGTCCCCAATGTTCTCCGCTAAAAACTAAGACTCTCTCAGAGGAGAGCCCTGGCAGCCTCTAACCCCCCCAGAATATGCTACCAGCAGCAGCTCCAGCACAAGCCAAGAAGAATCCGGTACTACCCCATCCCTCTCCAAACGAATGAGATGTGCTCTGGGCACCAGCTCCCCTCATTTTCCTGTCTATATCGTTAGGAAAGATTGCTGCTCTACTTCCTATTATCCCCCCACTGCATCCCCATCCTTCTGCCCAGCCCTACTTCTTCACCTCCATCCTCTCACCTAATTACCCAGCCTCTCCCCACCCCCAAAACCTCCCCTCCAGCCTGAGCCAGATTCATGTAAATGCCTCCCTCCCTCCTGTCCACCACCTCTTACATCTCTCCCTCTGGTATCCCCAGTCACTTCAATGATTCAGCTCCATCAAGTTATGACAAAACAAAGCCATGTAACTATTACCAGTTACCCTCGTCCACCCTCCCCGTTCACCCCCTATTGCTTGTCTCCCTCCCTTCTTGTCTTCAGTTGATTTTAAACTTCCAGTTAGGGGCTGCGTCTTCCTAGGTCTGTACAGCGCCTGGCACAACAGAGCCTCTGTCTTGATTAAGTGCTACAGAAGAACTACTACTAAGAGAAGATCAGCACTGACTCAAGTGCATCTAAAAACCCAATTGTGTCCAATCGTGGGATCTGCTCTCCATAATTATTTTAGCTGGGGTCAAGATAATTTCTATATCATGTTCCAAGAACACATGCGATTTAATCAGAGGCATATCAGCCCAAATGTAATGTTTCATCCTCTTCCCATGGTGGTTTTTGCATTTGAGTTATTTCAAGAAATAAAGCAAGACAGGCATCTGGACTCTTGGCTTGATTCCACTAGGGAGCACCAGTTGACAACAATCCTGATTATCCAGAGGCTTTTAAGGGATACATTGTACTGAGAGAGATGGGCTTTTATTCCACAAATTGCTTTAAAAATAAGTGTTGTACAAAACGTTACACGTTTTAAAAACTATTCAAAGAAAAGTGACTCATTTAGGATCCACAATAGAGCAGGAAAGCAGCATTAAAGTGAACAAAGGACTAGGCCCTGGGGAATCTATGCCAGCATAACCATCACTTCATCTCTATTAACTGAGCCGACAACTAGGTGTGCCATTTCTTTACTGTCCAGGTTCATAGAAGTGAACTGCCCCATAAATCATGCCAATTAAGGGTTAAGTCTTGGAGTCGCTACAGAGGCAAGTCCAGCCGTGATCGGTAATGGGAACACAGAGGATGCCGGGATCAGGTCCTGACTGGGTGTGTGGTTTAGCAGAGTACTGATTAAGCAGGTTCTGCTGTAATTTATTGCACTCACTTTAAAACTAATAAACCAAACCATTCTTATGTACATCATCAAAACCCAGAAAAATAATCCCCCACAGCACTGCTGCCTTCCTGCTTTTCTTTTAATCTCTTTGCTTGTTCGAAAGCCAGAATTTTGTTTTGGCAGCAGATCCAGCAGTGTGTTATGCAAACTATAGACGACATTACATACAGTATCTGCCTCAAGTGGCCCTTTCTAGCTGGTGATATTTTATAAAACATTTAACAGAGTTCAGTACGTAAAATATTCCAGCACACAGGTATCACCTAATCTTAGAAAAGGAAAACAAATTAAAATATTACAACACAATACAACTTTGATACAGAATCAGTTTAGACAAGATTCTCACAAATGTTAACAGATTTATAGTGGTCTTTACATAAATCGAGGTTGTTTTTTCTATATACACAAATTAAAAACCCTGACATAGTAGAGTCTCGTGTGTCTGCATAGAGGACACCAATTTGATGTTTCCAAGAGGCAGCTTTGACCCATTGCTTTGAGTCTCAAAGGAGTTTGGAAATGTCTTCATATTGGATGCCTTCAATTCTCCGTCCTTTTAAAGGCCCCTGCAGATGAATAAATTGCGAGAAAGGTTGGTGCGGGGGAAGGAAACTCTGCTTGTTGAATCTCATAATAAATAGTTACAAATTACAATATAGCTGAACTGAATCAAATCAAACCTGTCCACACTTAACTATTATTTTCTTAAACATGACTAAGCGAATAGCACACCGGAAACGAAAGAGCTGCACGCCAACCAACTTTGGCATTTTTACACATTTCTGTGTTCGTGTATTGATTTTTAACCAATGTACAACTTTCATCCTTCAGAGACTGGGGACAATGCATTAATGTGCCAGGTCAGATTTTGAGAAGACTGCACATTAATTATTATTATTATTATGGAATTACTAGTTAGCAAGATTTAAAGAGGGATTGGACATTTATGGGGGCAGAAATAGTCACAGTTTTAATAGTTAATGGTAAATTTTGGAAGGGAAATACAATTTCATGCTTCACTCTCTATTAGGTATTAGAATGAGAGATGCTTGGGGGGAGAAGATTACTCCACATCTGGCAACTGGAAGCTTCTTGCACCTTTCCTCTGAAGCATCTGGTGCTGGTCAGTTGGAGGCAGGATACTGGACTAGATGAACCAAGGGTTTGATCCAGTATGGCAGGTCCTATGTTATATGTCAAAGTGACCAAACGGGCAGTTACTCTGATTGTCTGTTCAAGAGCAGTAACTGCACATAAAAGTTATATGTGAGGCCCTATCAAATTCATGGCCATGAAAAACATGTCACGGACCGTGAAATCTGGTCTCCCCCCGTGAAATCTGGTCTTGTGTGTGGGTTTACCGTGCACCATACAGATTTCGCAGGAGAGACCAGCGTTTCTCAAATTGGGGGTCCTGACCCAAAAGGGAGTTGCAGGGGGGTCGCGGTATTGCCACTCTTCCTTCTGTGCTGCCTTCAGAGCTGGGCTGCAGCTGTTGGCCGGGTGCCCAGCTCTGAAGGCAGCGCCCTACCAGCAGTGGAGCAGAAGTAATGGTGGCAATACCATACCATGCCCCCCTTACTTCTGCGCTGCTGCCTTCAGAGCTGGGCAGCCGGAGAGTGGTGGCTGCTTACTGAGAGCCCAGCCCTGCAGGCAGCAGCACAGAAGGGTGGCAATACCATACCCTGCCATCCTTATTTCTAAGCTGCTGCTGGCAGGAGCTCTGAAACAAGAAGCAATGTGAACACCTCGAGAAACAACTTGGTAACTCTAACAACTCTAACTTACTTAGTAACCACCACCCTCGGAAATCAAAACAGTCACTGAGTGAAGTTCTGGCCCCATGAAATCAATGGCTACTCTTACTGACTTCAGTGGGGCCAGAATTTCACTTTAAATCTCTCTCTACAGATTTATAGGACTCGTACAAAAGAAA